CACAAAGCGTCGAATTCTAGGTTACTTAATATAGAAGTTAACGCAGTTTCGGATTCAAATGATAACTCTTTTATTTTAGCTCTTGGTATTTCTTTTCTTTATCCCGCTTTCAACTTTTCTGCTATTATAGGTACACTTAATCCACCTTGTCTTCTTTATACACTCTAAGGAAGTATGAATAGTGTAATTTTTGGTTTTCTTTTTTCACTTCAGGTGCTAATTGTACTTGCAATTGTATTGAAATAAGAGTAATTAATTTTTGACATACTTGGCGAGCTAATGAAGTTTTTGTTTGTTCAGATTTAATAGGTAACAATCAAGCTTTGAATGATATTTCGTGGTCTAAAAAATTATTTTTATCACTTGTATCTTCATATAATTCTAATGAATTTAATGATACAGTGTCTGCGTCAGTGTTTAATCCACGAAGTTTGTTTTAATAACTATAGTTGAGACCTCAAAGTCTTGCTCTTCATCACCTACTCATAGGCTCCTTGATGTATTTATTCGAAGAAAGTGGTTCATGATCTTCATAAACCGTAAATTTATTGCCGTATAAGTAATGCAGGAAATATTAAACAGCTATAACTACTGCTAAGCATTCTTTTTTAATCGTAGAATAATGTGTTTCTGCTTTATTGAAAGTTTTTGACAAGTGTGCAATTGAACGGTCTTTTCCTGGTTCTTCTTGTCTTAATACGACTCTAATAGCTATATTAAATGCGTGTAATTATGTGAATAGCTGATTAAAATTAACGCAAACTAATACAGGTATTCTGCATAATATGATGTTTGACTCTTCAAAGCTTTTTTGATAAATATCTGTCCATTAAAATTTTTCTCCTTTTTTTAACAAGGACGTGAAAGGTTCTGCAATTACTGCAAAATTTTTGACAAATCGATAGTAGTTGTTCGTTAGCCCTAAAACAACCGTTTGATTTTTTGGTTCGAAAGTTTTCTAACAGCTTCTAAATTTTTTAAATTGGTTTAACTCCTCAGCTACCTGTTTTTTCTTAAATAAGTTACTTCAGGCATTAACCATTCACATTTATTAGGTTGTAGTTTCGAATTTTATTTCAAGAGTTTCTAAAATAAATAAGTAATTTTTATCAAGTGATCATTTAAAATTTTGAAAAATACAGTTATGTCATTAAAAAATATAAATAACTCAATGCCTTGGACTCCTGAAAATTGACGTCTATTACTCGTTGAAGTGTTGCATTACATAGTCCAAACGGCATTTCTACATATTCATAATGACCGTTAGGTATGCTAAAAGCAGTTTTATGTCTATCGGCAGAGTCAACTTCTTTCACTGGCTAGATCATAAACGCAAATGTAGTTTGAGCCTTCGAGTTGCTCTAATATTTCGGTGATGTTTGGTAGTGGATAATCATCAGAAAAAGTTTTTTTGTTGAGTTTACGGTAATCTATTACTTATCTGTATCATTTTTTACATCGGTTTCTTGTTTCTTGGATATTATTCAGAGAGAACTACTGTAAAAGCTGTTTTCTTTTATGATGGTACCGTCTGCTAATAATTTTTCTGTTTGAGTTTGATTTCTTGGTGTAACGATAAAAGGTAGTGGTATTGCTTGGCATATACATGACGATCATCTGTCGTAGGTATTTTATGTGTCATTACAGAAGTACGAAGAGCCAGGTCACTTGGAACATAAAATAAGTGAGCAGTTTTCTATAATTTTTCTCATTTTTAATATATTAGATTTTGAATAACGATTTTAATTATTCTATCACTCATGAATTTAATACGATCTTTCATGTTATTCACAAAGTTTTCTTCGAAATCTTTATCAAAAAAATCTTTAGATTTTATAACATCAAAAGGCTCAAGTACTTGCAGAGGTATTTCTATTTTTGTTGTATTAATAAGTTCACGATAATAGTACCTGTAGTGTATATTTGCTGTGGAGCTATTCCTTTTAATTCAATATGCTACCTCAATTTATTTCTGGGGAGTTCTTTAATGCATTATAACTAATAACATTTACTTACGACGCTTCTGAATCTCATATAAAAATTTCCGTATTTTTCAAAATATTTTTGAAACGTAACTTAACGGCCGGTGAATTTTCTATTGTTCTTGCTTATAAGGCTTTGTAGATTTTATTGCCATTATTGATTTTTGACGCTTGATTGGATTGAAATTTGCAGTCATGTCCAAATGGTGAGTCTCGTTTAGGGCGTTAGGGCAAGAGTCTCGGTATCGTTCTTGATTATAATTTTGATATTGCTTTTGGTTATGGTATTGAAATAGATGTCCTGATAATTATAATCAAAGAGTATGAAAACAATATAAAGACAAAACTTTTCTTATACAGTATTTAGGTTAAGCGTACTTGTTTACACACGGAATAACTAAAAATAATGCCTTGCGGTGTGTGGCAGCGTTAGGAGCAGCGACGCGCGACGGGCGCATAGCAGCCGCCCGTGCCCAGCGGTGACTCACACCTATGCATTCATCGGTCCAATACATAAAAATATCAAAAACCCCTGTTTTATTATTCTTTATACTTTAGTAAAATTGTCTCATCTTTCGATCCATATGGTCAAAAAAATTCAAAAAATTTTACATCATGAGATTTAACACATTTTTACCAACGTTTGCATTTTTATAGGTTATAAAGTGAAAATTTATGAAAATTGATAGCACCATTAGAAAGCTGAGAAAAAACTGCATGGGAGTTGATGCTTTTGTGATTTTTAAAACATTTTTCTCATACCCAAACGACGAGATGAAAAAGTCGTCTTTTGCGCTCAGGCGGCCTTTCTGCGGTGGCACTGGGGCAGTTGAGAAAATTTTCCTCATAGGTTCTTGAGTGGCTGTTATTAAAGTTCGTCCATTTTCTACGTCTTGTAAAAAGTGGTTTAAGGGAGTCAAGTATTTGTCATAAAAAAGCATGTGTTGTGATGCTTGATTTTTACACATCAATGAATTAGTGGCATACAACCTTTGTAAAATATTTAAAAACTGTTGCAAAATAGAATCGTCTACTGATGAGTTGCTTCCACTATTTCCGGGCATTTCTACTTATTAACTCATAAATTTTTTATTAAAAATTCTTTGTGCAAAACTAAAATTTGAAGAACACACAAAAGAAGACAATTTTCTACCACTAGACTTATTCGGAGCACGTTTTTAAATTTTTTTTTTTTTTTTTAATAGTTTCTTTCGTGACTTTTTTAAAATTTAGCTCATGATCTTCGTTTGTCCTTTTTAATTAGTTAAAAACTCTTATTTTAAATAATGTGGAGAAACATGATTTATTATATTCTTTTATTAAACTAAATTGGAATAATTTATTTTTTCAATTACAATTTATTGGGTCATACTAACAATATTTAGAATTGATTTTATGATTGGTAGCTAACTTACATTTATCACTGATGGCTAATACTGCTGCTTCAGAGTACTCCAGTGTTTTATGTAGTATTTCTCAGCGGTTTCTGAAATGACACGGATGAATACATGGTCAGAAAAAAAGTGATTGCAGTTTGTGCTCTCTTTGTAGTGACCAAAACTTCTTTTGGCGAGCCACCTCGACTGTACCTTGCTCCTCAGCGTAGCCCCAGACTATAAATGTCTATAGAATATACCTGATCTGCCTCAGCCAATACGTTATGCCTTACGCATATAACGTACTTGAAGAACACGGGAGTTTAAAGTTGACTAAAACTTTAGAAGACAAATGAGAGACGTTAAGAAAATGGGTTTCCTCTAAATGAAGCGTTTTTATAGCATCAGAGCCAGTAAAAGAGGTATCTGCTTGAATTAGATAAACCAATGAGCGATATTTTTACAAAATTGTGTTGCCCGCAAAACAGTAGGCTCATACGATAATGGTGTAAGTTATGATTTCATGTATTAGGGAATAATAATACAACAGTACTAAACGCACGTTTTGACAGGTGCAATTAAAATTTCGGATCAGCAATAGAACAAATAGCAAATACAAATTTAAATCTGACTTATGTGTTTAAAAATTTCGTAATTATTTCTTCCAGAAATTTTACAATCAATTTTTAAAATGATAAAACAATTTCTTAATTACGATTCTAAAGGTTGTACACATTTTTAGAATTTGACAATCAACGAGCAAATAATATACTTATTCACACATTCAACACAATTTATGCATTCACACATACAACGTGAAACTCCAATACATACATGCATTTTTACAACAAGGTTGGCCACATTGAATATGAGCTTAATATGACGCAACTTTATTTATACATTCAGTGGATACATTGTTATACTTATGTATAAGATTATGCAGAATACGAGTCAGTGGATGCATGAGTAAATGTGCACGAAAAAAATGCTCGTCAAAGCTCATACAGCTTACACACGATCATGCAAGGGCGCGTATATGTATGTAGCGTGACGTATAAGCTTCACTAGCTATGTTGGCTTGTGGTTTTACACATTACATCTTGTATAAAGGTGAACAATGTATTTCGTTGGAGCTTAAAGTAAGATTTGTCTGTATCACCTCAGGATGTCACACAAAATAAATAAATAAATTCACTTAGATAACAGAGCTGATAAGTTCATTTATTAAAATAAATAACTCGTAGTCGATAGAATTAGTACATAACTTTTTTTTTATATTTTCGGAAAAAATTTGTAGATGAAATCGAGTTTAACAAGGGAGGAATAGTTTTACCCATTTTCGAAATTAAATAAATGTATGGAAAATTAAACACCTGATAGGGATGGAAGGATATTTTGATAGCGTTAAACTGGTTAATATCCAAATGTCACGCAAAACATATCAATGGTTGAAAACGCAACATGATTGAAAAAAGAATATTTTCCTTATCCTTATCATATTTGAAAGAGTTATTATTATGTTGTATGGGAAGCATGAGATAACATATGATTTTTTATTATATCCAGACAATACATTAATAATAAACAGCAAATTTCTTTCAACGGTGCAAAAAATAATTTGTTGACATAGTTATAATGAGATTTAATCTTTTATTTTACCCACGTTTTTTAAGAGTATTGTTTTATCTACTGAATCAATTTTTGCAGATGCTGAATTTAACAAATTTCCAAGAGTTTTGAGCATTTTTTGTTTGTAAGTATGAAATACTACTTGACTAAAGTTGTCTCTGTCTTTTAATATGCCTTCTTGTACATCATTTTCAACATAAAATTGGACGATTGACCACATAACATCTCGAAAACGTAAGATTGCTCCTGCAGTTCTGAAACAATGGACAAACTTATATTCTACTAGTCCATATCAAATTAAAAAAAAATTTTTTAAACATTGTGTTCTTACGTACTTTGGATCACATACCATCTGCACATTTTGCTTGCCACTAATTTGTAGTAATATTTTATCATCATTTTGTTCCACACAATACTGTAATTAAGAATCAACAAACATTATAATCAAAATTGCCGTATGCTAAAAATGTATGATATATATTACTGAGATGACAACATTGAGTCCGAATTAATCGTCATTTTTTAAAAATATTGATTGTATTTTTTAGATAGTACAATACTACACCTTAAAAAGGTTTCATTTATAATTTTTAGTAATATACTAAAGTTAAAAAATTTTATAAGATTGACTTATAATGAACCCAATTTTCTAGAAACATAAATAATTATCTTACTTGTGTTCAACTACATAGAACTAATATGTAAGACTACAACCAAATTTAAATTCCAATAAATGTTTTAAGCAACTGTATATGTTACAGCTGCAAATTTTAGTTATAAAAAAAACAGGGTAAAAAAACATAAATTTTTATATCTTTCTTTAATGACGTCAACCTTTGTCTTTATTTCAAGGTTATTTAATACTACTGCTCATCCTACTACAACTACTAAAACTATTACAACTTACATTACAAATTTTTCTGTTTTGAAATCTGTATATAATTCTTTTATTAACAGATAGCTTTAGGACCTGTTGGATTTAATAAGTGAATTTTTCTCATCACTTATTTAACGTGGTGATAAAATGATTATTAATCACAAAAGCATCAAACAAGCCTCTTACCTACATCTTCCTGAAACTTAGTAATAAAACTGTCTTTAAAAAAATTAGATCTCTCGCATAAAGTACAAGAGATAATACGAAGAACTAAATCATCACCGTTAATCAGCGTTCATTAGAGTGACAGAGTTGATTGAATCAAGCTTAAGCTTTTTATTAAAATGTAAAGGTTTTTTTGATGAGGTTTATCCTTTGTCTTCAACAAAAAATTTGTTAATAGTCATGGAAAACACTAAATGAAAATTTGTTTCTGTATGAAAAAAAAGGTTATAGAGATTCATTTTTTGTATTTATATTAATTTCTGATTTAAAAACTTTTATTCTAATTATTTTTCTACTTATAATCTTTTATAGATTTCGAAAAAAATTAAATCGTATGATCAAAGAATAAAAAATAATTTGAATTAGAAGAAAAAAGTTTGTGATTAATCGAAATCTTTAGGTTAACTCAACGAAATGATTTTTTTTTTTTTTTTTTTTTTTTTTTTTTTTTTTTTTTTTTTTTNTATTTGTAAATTCTTAATGTCAAAGCATAGTTTGTTTTGTTATTTTTCGTAAAAATATAAGTATTGTATGATTTAATCAAGATGTAAAAATTCAAATGTACAGTTATTTTATTTATTCCATTATTATATGGTAGTTTATTATTTTACTTCATAATTATCTAGAATACGAGACTTGCGAAGCCCCACTGGGATATACAGAAGTAAGGATCTGTCTACTGCACCCTTTGCAAGCCAACCCCCACGAATATTTGTTATTTTATTCTTTAGGTGATAACAAATATGTTTCCATAAAAAATATATCTATGCAATATAAGACAGATTTTGGTCAGAATACGTGCAATAAGAAACTATAATAATAATAAACTTTTTTAGGTATCTGCTATTTTTATATATTTTCCAGATTCTGGTATTCCTTCTGTGACAGTATCAGAAACATTTTTCGATCCTATTCTCTACTCATTGTATTTCTTTAATTTTTATTGATTAAAAAAAAACGATTATGATTATTAAGTAGTAAAACTTTCTTTTAATTTTTCATACGGATTGAAAAAACAAAATTATAATTTTTTATTTAAAACAAAGAATTTTTGGTGATTCTATGAGGTGTGAAAGTAATATTGATACACTTATCATCGCATTAATTACCACATACATTATATAGATGGTAGCACTGTAATGTAAGAACTTTTGAAACCACTCCTATCCTTTTCGATAACAAATATACTCAAGATTTTAAACTAAAATTTATTTATATTTTCTACTTCAAGAAATTTTTAAGAAATACGTAAGAATGAGAAAAATATCCTCAAACAGTTAGGGATGAGAACTAACCTAAATCTACGGTGCGAGTGACTGCACGGTTCCTTGGTAGCTCAAGTGGTAGAGCAACTGTCTAGTAAACAGAAAGTTGTGTGTTAGGTTGGCACCCAGAAAGAATATTATTTTTCTTATTCTTACTAATTTTTGGAAATTTCTCAGAACAGAAAATAAAAGTGGATTTGGATTTTCAATCTTGAGTATATTTGTTATTGAAAAAGATATAGGTGGTTTTAAAAGTGCTTACATAAAAGTGCCAAAATCTATATATGAGGTTATTAATACGATGATAAATGTATCAATTTTGTTTGTGTACCTCATGGAGTCATATTAGATTCCTAATCTATCAAAAAGCATTGAAACTATTTTTCAACTTTTCTATGAAAATCAAGCTTAGTATAGAAACAGCTTAAACAATTAAGAATAAAAGATGTAAGAATGAGAAAAATGTCCTCACCAAGTATTCTAAGAAGGATGAGAAAAATATCTTTGAACAGTTAAGAATGAGAACTTGCACGGCTATTCGGTAGCTCAGGAACTAGAGACCTTGTCTAGTGAACAGAAGGTTGTGTATTCGATCCGCACACATGAAGCATACTTTTCTTATTCTTGCTTATTTTTAAAAAATTTCTTGAAATAGAGAATAAAAAAGAATTTTAATTTCAAAACTTGGGTGTATTTGTAATAAAAAAGGACAGAGGTGGTTTTCAGAGTGCTTAAATAAATGTGCCGCCATCTACGTATGTTCCAACTGATACGATGGTAAAATTATCAATATTGCTTCTGTACGTCGTAGAGTCACTTTAAATCTCTAATTTATGAGCAAACATTAAAACCAATTTTCAATTAATTAAAAACAAAGTTTATCTGTTATTCAAAATGATATACAATATAAATTTTGCTTATTTGTAAATTCTTAATGTCAAAGCATAGTTTGTTTTGTTATTTTTCGTAAAAATATAAGTATTGTATGATTTAATCAAGATGTAAAAATTCAAATGTACAGTTATTTTATTTATTCCATTATT